TTCTCGAGCCACTCCAATCCCTTCGCGCCACGCGACTGCATCTCCGAATGATAATCGAAGACAATGTGTGGAACCGTACCCTTTTAAGTGTGCAAGAAAGAGGAGGAAAACAGAGGGTTTGGGTGGGGGAAAAGTAACATGACTCGTTTTTTCGAATGGCACACTGGAAAAGATATGTAAAGGAATTCTCATTTTTATCCATTCAGATAGGAGGAAAGTATTGATCTACATGAAACTAAATTTTGAGATAAGGCCTGACGATGGCCAAACGAGTTGGGTAACAAACACTGGGGTGATTGAAGAATTAGGTTCCGAGATTCGAACTCTGTCACTGTCGCACAACTTTCGTGATAAGCAGCTCCGCTGTCGTTCAGCTGGATACTGCACCAACCTGATGGGATTTCATGCGGTCCATCACCAACGGTCTTAGGTCTCATTTTACCGGCTATTACGAGTCAGTAGTATGCACTCGTGTTCATGGAGGTTATTCCTTCTGGTTTTACCATAAAATGAAGTTTGCTATACAAATCTATCAATTCTTACAAAACACTTGAGGTGTCCCCTGTTCGTTACTGTCAGTTCCACATCATAGAATTTTAAATTACTGTTTGCTCAACTGGTACAAATCGTAAACAAATACAATATTTATATAGGGTTTGGGAATGGATTAAATACGGAGTGACCAAAAATCCAGTTGTTCGGAGCTAACCTGGACGACACATCTACGATTAATACTTATGCGGTGTAGGAACAAGTCAATCACAATGTGTATCACATCACATCATGCTACCAATAATACGTGTAGATTCATTTTCCGATCATCTGTACACATGCGTTGTCTTCTGCTGTCTCGGCAATAGCTGGGAACGGTTCTGAACCGATTTTTACAAAGGAAACCATCTAGCCAAACAGTACTATTTAAGCTGCTTGTGAATAGGTGAAATAGTGATCAGTGAAGTTATTTTCGAACAGCTACACCACCTGTTCGCATATCATTTGGCTATCTGGCATGTTGCAACCACGTGTCAGATCATTGCGTATGCGATTTGGACGGTACGCATTCGACTTGTTTGTCGGGCAGGTTGTTTTCTTTCTATACACACACACGGTCATTTGACCGGGTCTGTCTCCGCATGACAAATCAGCAGTAACAAGAACCAAAAAAGACATGTGTGTTTGAACAGTTTTGAGCTCGCGCACCCGCGTCATCAATGGGAACAGTTTGGTGTTCCTAATTTTGTCGTATCGGCTATTATTATTATCTGTTTACTAGTTTATTATGGGCATACTGTCCACACTTTACAACTGAGACTAGGGAATCCAGCGTTTATCGATCATAACTGTTCAGAGGCAGATGTGTTAGGATGTTATTTGACATTTTGATATGAAACTGAACATTGGAAACACCACGAGTGACTATCGTTTTTATCAATGCAGATACGGAGGAAGTACTTGTGCCTTGGAGCAGTTTAGTTTAATCAACGTACGTTATATTCATATCCGGACGACAAACAAAACATATGTACTAAAAATCACAGATTTTTCAATAAGCCTAAAGTCATCCATAATAAAAGGGATATAACTCTATGATAAAAACAAACACCTCATATGAGTACAGTAGGAAAATGATGAACACACTCTTTGAGGGTGCCAGGATGTGTTAGCGGAAGTTTCATGACCAGACAGGGTGAACGAATGGATAAGATCTGTCTGGGGTTCGAAACTTCATTTGAAACAAGATTCAGGAATGAACTAGTTCATTTCTATGGCTGAAATATTCATCTGTGTTTGAAAACCCTCACGACCAAATAGAAGTGACTCTACATGTTGTGTGCGGGAAACGTTTGTTTCAAATTAGAAAGTTTGTTTAGCCGGCCGATCGATGAGGTAGCAACAGAATACCATTCGGGTTCCATTCTATCTGGTTAGTCTGTAATGCCAAGATAGTAAGTCTCCATTTGGTTCGTCACATGCGCTCTATTGACGATATTTCCGGCATCGCCAAGTTGAAATCAAATGCCGTTTATTTTCGAAATGAGTTTAATACGGCCGATCGCGACAACCAACAATGGAACATGAAAAGGACAACAATATCGATTGTATGGATGTGATGTTGGACCGAAATCTAAAATGGTTTATCGGTCGATCGGTCTACCGCGAACACACGCGAACTGGCCGGAGTTTGCATTCGACTAGTTTTGTCCATACCCGATAAAAGCGTGACCTGGTGGAAATGTGGCATGAACGAGAACAAATCAGAACTGCTC